CCTAGGCATGGTACAATCACGATGCCGCGAGGGGGGGGGGGGATACAAATAAGAAAGGTCTGGAAAGAATAGAAACGCACTTGGAAGTAAAAGGGAACGGAAAGCATCCGAAGGAAAAAGAGGAGATGAACGATAAGAATGAGAACTGAACGTTCTTAACCAATCCTGGGTCAGTTTTCAAGCGTGGAATTTAAGAGCAGCGCTTATGGGGTTCATAGTTCGCCGGCAAAAATTACAAATGTGAACACCATGCTTACATCACGGCGCTGGTAAATGCAAGGGTGGCAAAACAATCTAAATTTTGGAACACTGATAACCGAACTTAACACAACATCCCACTCTGGTAGTTCATCAAAAGTCCTTGATAAATGGCGCACCGTTTTGTCCTTTCACAGTGAAATGTGATAAAGCAATAATGCAAAAATTGCCCATAATCATCGCAATACTGCTTAATGAACTGTCCTGTCACAAGAAATGTGTCAAAACAAGTGGAAAGACATTACCCAGTTGCATACGTCCATCACAGACTTTCGAAATACATGCGTAGAGTACATCACGAAGGTTTGTAAACAGACCCTTTCCAGTTCGCTTCGGATTTTACAGCGAACCACATCCAAATTACCCAAGCTCGACATAGGCTTATCTTTTTTTGGTAAGGAACTGTTTTCGGCTGTTGTTGTGCGGCGGCGGCTGGTGATCTGTGAGTGGCTGCGGGCAGGTCCTGTGATTCGCCGAAGTGGCCAGGTGGCGTGCCGGGCCACCGGCTTCTGGCTTGATCCTGATCTCGGCCCGACATATGAAACCCGCCGGCTTCTGGCGCGATCCATGCGTGCCGAGCTCGTCGGCTCCTGCCACAGTACTGGGTGTCAGCCCGCCAGCTCCTGCCACGGTCCTGGCGTGTCAGCCCGTCGTCGGCTCCTGTCACAGTACTGGTGTGTCAGCCCGCCAGCTCCTGCCACGGTCCTGGCGTGTCAGCCCGTCGTCGGCTCCTGCCACAGTACTGGTGTGTCAGCCCGCCAGCTCCTGCCACGGTCCTGGCGTGTCAGCCCGTCGTCGGCTCCAACCACAGTACTGGTGTGTCAGCCCGCCAGCTCCTGCCACGGTCCTGGCGTGTCAGCCCGTCGTCGGCTCCAACCAGTACTGGTGTGTCAGCCCGCCAGCTCCTGCCACAGTCCTGGCGTGTCAGCCCGTCGTCGGCTCCTGTCACAGTCCTGGTGTGTCAGCCCGTCAGCTCCTGCCACGGTCCTGGCGTGTCAGCCCGCCGGCTCCCGGTCTGGCCTTCGTCTAGCGCCGGCCGGCTCACTGCCGGCTGACATTGGCACCTCTCCTATTCCCCTTCACTTTCGGCGTGGGTGGGCGGCCACCTCTCGCTGCATGATGACCGGAGCCGGGCACGCCCCCGCCGGTCGACCGACACCGCTCTCTGTCGACCTCTCAGCTAGGTGAGCCTCACGGGAGTGCATGCTCACCTGGCTGGAGGTAACCATGCGTGGCAGCGGGCCGGGTAGCTGTTGAAACAGGCGCTGGACAGTTTTATGGATAATGGAGATTAAACAGCACATAATTGCTGGGTTAAACACATCCTCAATCGTTTGATCACATATCCTTTAATATCAAAAATTAATTCCAACGGCATTGCAGAAGCTGCAGGGATTATAGTCCTCATGCAAATGGCTAGACGTCATAATATGTCATTGCTACTCATGTAGTAATCCGATCTCAGGAACGCGCAGACATGTCCTTGACATGGTACCACTTTGGCATTGGTAATCTTGCGAAATGTTATCTCGTCTGTTTAACTTACGGCCATTTTTCTAAGTTGATAGCCCCTCTGGGTGCCCATTTTGGAGCATGAGACGGAGAAGCTGCTTACATGAGCTGACACCATTCGTCGGGACGGCAGTGTGAGCCGGAGGGAGCTGCTTACATGAGCACGACACCATTCGTCGGGGCGGCAGTGTGTGAGCGGATCAGCCGCTAGCTAACGAATCGCTCCGGTTGGAGCGGCAGGTCGCTCTCCTCTGCCGCGGCATCACAGAAGGTCGGGGATGAGTCAGCTTCCCGCAAGGGTGCCGCCAGCCGTGACCATCTATAACGGTGCTGCAGACACAGGCGGCACCGACTGTGCCGTCGTCGTAATCGGCTGAGGCCTTTCAGCGGCGCTCCCGCCAGTGGCCAGATCCACCAGTCTGTCTAGGCGCCTGCATGGGGATTAGAACCCAGCACCTCTTACGCCTGACGGTATACATCGCGTGTTCAGGTGCACGGCGGCTCACCCTTCAGAAGGTCCTCGGCAATCCAAGGACGGCTCCGGCTCCAAGGTCTACTGCTGCGTTACCACCAGGCAGAGAGACCAGAGGATAGGCTTTAGGATAGGTCGTGCGACAAAGCTGCCGGCTACGCTACCTGGTTATGTAGCCACCTGGCTCTGTGAAAGCTGCCTGGCTTCATTTTCAAACACCTGATTAAATTTATGAAAGCTTTCAAGCAATCTGAAAGCTAGGTGCGGAAGAAGACCTGTAGAAACCAGTAAGTCTGGTCCAACCAGCGGTCATCTGCCTCATCTATTGGTGTGGTTGCTTGGTCTTAGTACAGTACGCATAGGTCACAATATGTTGCAATGTTGCATGTTGCATGCTCTAAGTCATATGAGTTACCGCTTGATACACAGCAGCGCGGTCGGTTTGAAAATCCGCGTCTGATGGATACTCCGTACGTTGTTTTGTTTCGTCATTGGGTCGTGCGTTGCGCGCCTGGTGCCGGCCCGGGCGTCGAGAGAATGGCGAGACGTGGGCTCGCCCTTGGTTCATTTCGCCATAGTTCAAACCAATCATCCACTCAGTTTGGGGCAGGAGTGGGCGGCCGCGCTCGGAGAAAGTTGAGAGAGACTGTAGAAGAGGCTCATGGCAGGCGGCTGACCACGTGGTCAGCTCCGCAGGGCGTCTGGCATCGGGCGAGCAGTGCCGACACCCTCACCCGGCGACCCCCGCCCTGCACCGTCCCTGGGAACGAACCGTCACAGTGCCAGGACGGCTGGTGAACTCTCCCCTCCGAATGGTCTGCGTGAGTGGCCACTGCAGCACCGGGATTGTGCAGGGCTACTTCCTGCCAGAGTAGCTTGCAAACATTCGCGCCCGGATGTTTGCAACCATGCATTGAGTTCTCTTTGTTTGTGGAGCAGAATGCATTGTTTGTCTAATGAGCACATCTGAATCAAGATGAAAATCACGAGAGATCCAAACGCATTCCATCCGCAGGCAGCCCTGGAACTGCGCATGGTGAATATTCAAAAGTGAAAGTCGCAGTATCGGTTGGGTAATGAAAAGTTAGTAAAACATGTTAAGTTTCAGGGACCGAGCTCAATCATCACGCAAATCCTGCGCGAAAAAAACCGCAGAGGAGTGGTCCGAATTTCCTGCTTTATGTTACAGATAGGTATTTATTTCATCGGGCTCGTCTCTGCTTCTTTGTAGTATCCGTAGGACATTGCTTTCGGTTTAGAGCAAAGCGTGTCGTAATCCTGACAACTGTTTCTCGGCAACTGCCAC